TGTGTTGTTTTGCTGTGCGTTGTGTTGTTTTGCTGTGCGTTGTGTTGACGTAGCAGCTTTATGTTTTAATCTGGGTCCAGAACCACGCGAGGAACCGGGGCTCATTAGCCTCCAGTCTCTTTTCACATCACAGACCGCTCAAGATAAATCCTCTGGTTGCTCTGAAGTGTGTCGACGACAGACATGTTGTTTTTTTTCACATTTCATATGGTCCCGATTTAATGCCGTGCCATGGATCTAGCCATGTGGTCTCCTAGCAACAAACAAACAGGCCGTAATAGAGGAGAATTCTCAGCTGCGAGGAGGAAGTCTGGGACGAGACCACGGTGCCTGCCAAACCAGACTCTAACCCCCCCAGGAGAGACATGACAGATGATCTCTCATTCTAGTTTTCTGCTTTGTTACTAATAAACAAACTGGTTTCTCCACTTACCACACACACACACACACACACACACACACACACACACTCTGGTTTTGTCTGCTTGCCTTTTGTCTTTCTGCATCACACAGAGAGAGAAGTAAACTGTCGATACTCTCTAAAACGACCAATATGATTTTTATTATTTTTTTGTTCTTCTCATACAGGATGCTCTCCCGCCACCCCCACCTCCTCCCCCGCAGTCCTCCGTCGATGGAGCGGCGTATTCATTGGCTGCCGGACAGAGACCCTCCCCCAGCATAAGCGACCAAAGTGGGAGACAAAGACCCACAGTGTGAGCTATAAAAACAGTCCCGCACAAAAAATATGCAGTCCTCTACAATGTGCAGTGAAATGTCAGAAGCGGTTTGCGCAGCAACGGCCCGAGGCCTTAATGGAAGAAGGGGAGGAGGGGGGAGGAGGGGGAGTGAGGCTGCAGAGGGTGAGCACAGGTGACGGGGGGGTTAATACCTGTGGGTGAGTCTCCTGGGTCTCATTGGAGAATCCCCTCTGACTTTTGACCCCCCCTCGTTTCTCTTCCAGGACACCAAACACCTGATTAGAATTAGATCCGCCCACGCCTCGTCTGCGTCTGCCTGTGCATGCATGTCGGAGCCCGAGGCCTTTATGTTCACCAGAGTCCCACTGAAAACATCCCAGAGACTCCTCCAGCCTCTCGGTCAGAGTGCACGGTCTCTGGGGGAGATGATGACACGTGCACGGCGAGAAAGCCCCGTTGTACAAAATGTGAAGCTCAAACATTGTGATATATTACTATATATTACTTTATATTACTATTTATTACCTATCTGTCTGTCAACATCTGTTTGAACTAAACTAAGCTATTTATTTTCATCGTTAACTAACTTGTTTTGACTTTGTTTAAGTCATCTATAGTGGTGATTTGGAAATAGGAATATAATTTACTTTCATAAAAAAGTACGAAAGTACTTCTTTTGTTGTGAATGGAGTTTGAATTTTCAGACTAGCGAATAGAAAGCAGCATTTTTATTGAAGCTAGGCAGATGACGATCGTCAGTAAAACTTTTCACACTGATGGTTAAACTGTTTAATTAATCCACGGCTCACGTGACTTCCTGCTCATTTTATATCCAAAATGCTCCCTCGCTGCCGATTTAAGGTCTTTTTTTGGTAGATATGCGGCTGGAGTGTTGGTTCCCTCGGAAGTGTTTATATCGTAAGAGCAAGACATCATGGGCATCAGTAGGCCCATGATGTCCATGAGTCTGTGCGTCGTAAGATATCATGAAATATCGTATGACGTAGTAGCTTCTTCATTTCTTGTAGTTATGAAATCGTGACTTATATAACCGCTGTTAATCCCGACCTCCCTGATTGCAAAATGAATAGTTCATATCAACAAGGTTGATACTTGGCGTTCCATTATTGACACAATGTTGCAAAATATCGCGATAAGATGCTGTAATGATTCTCCCCTCACCCCGTGTGTGTGTGTGTGTGTGTGTGTGTGTGTGTGTGTGTGTGTGTGTG